TGTTAAGTTTCAGCAGGCTGAAAACTACAGGGGTGGTGGCCCCTGCTGAGGCCACAAAGCCTGCCAAGTTTTAAGGAGGTAAGTGCAGAGGTTTGGGGGGAACTGCTCCTCAAGCTGTGGACAAGCAAAACTCATTAAATGGCTCTGTGTGTTAAGGCAGAGCAGGATGAAAGCTGCAGGGATGGTAGCCCCTGCTGTGGCCATGACGCCTGCCAGCTGTCGAGGAGATGGGTGCAGGGGGGTTCTGTGGCCCTGCACCCCTAGCTGCTGACAGGCAAAACTCGTGACATGGGTGCTTGTGCAACTGTGTCTGTCTTGGGGCGGTGGGTGGGGGGAGGAGGGGGAACTACTGCAGGCCTGGCTGCTAAGCTACTGTGTTACCAGTTACTAATCAATAATGATTCACTCAGGGACCAGCTCAATACACAGTTGCTAGCTAATGTAACCAGTTAATTAGCAACAATTAACACCTACAAAACCACAGGCTAAGGAGAGGAAAGAATCAATACAGACAATCAACTTCCCCCAGACAGAGAGAGTCAGTTGCACAAGCACCCATGGCACGAGTTTTGCCTGTCAGCAGCTAGTGGTGCAGGGCCCCAGAACCCAGAAGCCCTGCACCTATCTCCTCAACAACTGGTAGGCTTCATGGCCACAACAGGGGCTACCATCTCTACAAGTTTCGCCGTGCTGTGCCTTAACACAAATAGGGTCACCCATGTCACAAGTTTTGCTTGTCTGCAGCTTGAGGTGCAGTTCCCCCAAACCCCTGCACTTATCTCCTTGAAACTTGGCAGGCTTCATGGCCCCAGCCCGGGGCAACATTCCTGCCGGTTTCCACCATTCCTGCAGTTTTCAGCCCACTGTGCCTTAACACACACACAGGGTCATCTGTGTCACTAGTTTTGCCTGTCAGCAGCTTGAGGTGCAGTTTCCCCCAAACCCATGCACCAATCTTCTTGAAACTTGGCAGACTTTGTGGCCTCACCAGGGGCCACCATCTCTGCAGTTTTCACCCCCACTGTGGTGTAACACATACACGTGACATAAGTTTTGCTTTCAAGAATTTGGGGTCCAGTTCCCCTCGAACCCCTGCTCCGTTCTTCTTGAAACTTGGCAGACATCATGCTCTCAGCACAGGCTATCATCTCTGCAAGTTTATTCCAAATCAGACAAAAAACAATAAAGTTATAGATATTCTATTGATTCCCCATTATACCCTATGGCCAGATCTCCGAGGCAGCTCCAAAGCTTCGGAACTGCTTTGGCCGGATCAAAGCAGGAACCCGCTCCGGAGCTCTGGTCCCCTGGCATCCAAAGTGGCTGGATTGAATAGATGCCTACTTGCATAGGCCTAACAGAAACATAATGCTCAGCTCATTCTTTAAAAAGAGACTCCTGGATGTCAATAACATACGACTGATTAGACATGTCATTTTCCCTGTGAAGTCCCTCTGATACTGAGCAGAGACTGCTTCCATTGCATGAATTAGAGAAGGGATAAATATGAGTGTACAGGATTAAGTCTAAGGAAGTTCACTTCCCCTGCATCACATGGCACTCCATGCAACTTCTCCTACCAAAAAAACATATCTGTAGGTGTGACAGTCAAGGACAGCAGTCTCTTTGGACAGATGAACTTCCAGGATTCTCCGGCTAAGTGACATTTTGTCACAGTGAGATTAAAAAGCTCTGTCCAGACCCATGACATTATAAGCAACTGACTTCACTGTTATGATAATAAAGCTCATGCATCTTAGACTACAGTTTCAAGACCCTTGTCTTTCCAAGAATTTATAGTTAAATCAAAATTCAAGTCTCTTAAATCAAATTTCAAGTCTCCATACTTCATCTTTTTCAGGGACAAATGGAATTGTATCCCTTTACAGACATCATCTCCTGTCCCCAAGATTAACATCATGAAACTAGTGTCTCTTTAGCAGAGAAATAAAAGTTGTCATAGAAGCAAACCCAAAAAGTCCTAGAGAAATCTCCAACAAATTAATTTTTTTAAATGGAAGATTATGATTATCTGTATAATTTTTCCTCATGTCTAGTCCCAAATATTCTCATTACCAGTCCCTAGATAATTTCTACTGTGCTTTCTATGCCTCCTCCCTCATGTGATACTTTGCAATTGGCCTCCTCCTGCTGTCCATTGTACCCTGACAGGTCTCCAGTTTTGCCCACAAGACCTTGGTAGTGCTCCTCTCCTGAAAATCTATCCTAAAAATATTGTCTCATCTCCAGCATCATGTCACTTTCTTTCATTGCTTTTGGTCATCTTGCCAAACATACTGGCAAATAATGCAGGTACCTCTTCCCAGGTCTTACCATGACATCCTGACTTTCATTTTGACTGATAACCCATCAGACTGTTATGCTTCCCTCCCTTTCCAGTTCTCACCGTTGCATCTTGCCCTGCATAGTGACTGATAACTTGTCGCCCTCCTGGGTGCCGCAGGTAGAACTTGCTGACATCGTAGATCTTCCTATCAATCACCAGCCACCGCTCCTGCCCTGATGTCCCATGGCCCTGGCCAGTATGGATTGCAATCTCCTCCCAAGTAAAAAGTTGCGAAAAATCTAGAATAGGTTCCTCCTGTTCTTCTGTGTCGCCAGATTGTGGAGGCATCCTCACTGTCTGCTGCACACGTAGCACTGAAATTTAGTCTTCCTTGGTCTACTGCTCCACTGCCCGACTGGTGACAGGACCAGTTGCGCTCTTTTAGCTCCACATGCTTTGTAGCAATATAATTTAAATTCACAGACACACCCACCACAGATAACTACCAGTACACTGATCGGAACTTTGGCTAGTGAGAAATAGCACTGAAAAGTTTCCTCCTCTTCTAATTAAAGTCTCTTGGACCACATTCCTAAATAAAATCTCTGTTCAGTCTTGTCTTTCCAATGTAGGATTATGTAATAGTTCACAGGGGGCGTGTCTACACATTCATTAATGAAGCCTTAGTTACTGAATATTTAGTTTAGTATTTGCCTAATACAGTACTAACTAAATGTACAGTAACTAGAGTTACTGTGCAGTAGTGCCAGTGCACAGCTATTTTGTGAAGCTTACTATGTATTAGCCTAATAACACTGCCATAGGCTATTAGCATGGTTTTTGACCAGCCTGCTACTACTGCACAGTGTTATTAGGTTAATGTGCATCAAGCATCTCATGTAGACATATCCAGAATGTACGTAGGTATAAATAAGGGGGGAAAATGTACAAAAATCAACTAGGAAGCTGTTCTCCCTGTCATTTTTTTAACCAATGACTGTCTAATTCAAAATGCATATGGAGTTCTGAGAGGAAAGGTGGGAACTCAGGACTTTCCCCACCCTGTGGATTGTTTTTTACATTGAGCTACAGAATTATGCTAGCTGCTGCTTGTTCCCCTTATGATCCCTGAATCTAGCGCTTTTTGTTTTCCAGTGGCTCAGTTTCAACCTGAAGGACAGGGGTACCCATCCACCTGCCTATTCCAGAGTCTCATATTCTCTAGGAAAGTCAAAGTTGTTAAGATGCAGTTTTGAACTTCCTCCAGCTGAGGAGGAACTAAAAACCAGATATCACCCTTTCTGTATCGGCACTCTAACCCCTAGGCTATTATGCAAAAGGAAGCACAATCATTTGGAAATGAAGACGGGGTGCTGTATTTTCTATTAACCTCAGTGCTACTTTCAGTTCCTATCAAATGGTGAATGTCTAACAGATTGGGAATTTGGACAGTCTTCAACACCACTTTGGTGGGAATTAAATATCTAGGTGTTTGATCTCACTTTTGAGTGTGTGCATAAGTTTAAAGCCAAAATGGAGATGCTGAATGAGTCTAGGCATCTAAGTGTTTTTCTGGCGAGAAGAACACGTCAGTCTGAATTATTTGCTATGATTTAAGCAGCTAAAGTCCACCTACATTCCATTCTGATGCCATCAATAATGATTTCGATTAGGGATCTGAAAGGTTAAATGATTAATCATTTAACCAATAAGTCCAGCAATAACTGGCTAGCTTACTGGTTATCCTTTTGTTCTCTGCTTGGACTGTTACCTTGATGGGGTGGAAAGGCTTGCACGTATGGATGACCCAAAATGCAACACTTTCAGGAGTCTTGTACTCCTGGTAGGGTCACCCCTAGCTGTAAGGTCAAAGGTGAGGTATCAAACAAAGTGCCATGCAACATAACAAAAAAACCTCAATAGTGGAGCAGGCAGATTAAGGCATATTTCTCAGTGGCCGTGAAGACAGATGAAGGCTGCAGTAGGTCATCTTAGATCTCCTTGCCACTGGACACAGGTTTCTCCTCCTCCAAGATCCATGCAGTTGCTGAAGTGCAGCATCCTCCTTACATAAAGCAAGGTTCTTTGGATTAGATTACAAACAAAGCAGATCAGGCCTTTTATATTATGTGCCATGGATCAGCACATCAACAGGTCACCAGTTCTTTGTTTAAAATGTAGATCCAACTGCTTTCATTCCTGGGTTCCAGCCATTACTTCAACTACAGCCCACTAACAAGGATTTTTTAACTGCCAGACCATATAGGTGTTTCTATGCCTGTCATCAGTGATCTTAAACCCCTATCACCCTTCACCCTCTCTCCCATAGTCCTGTTTTGCAATGTTAAGATACCAGCAAAATAATAGATATATTACTCAGGGGCCTGCACAGGAGTCCAAAGGTTGTTCTCTTCTCCTGCAGTGTCAGACCATCAAATAGCCTCCAAACTAGCTAGCCCTGGTAAGATTCTCTTTCTCCCTTTGCTCATAACTACCATTTTCACAAGAAAAGGACAGATAAGTAATCCAAGTTAAATTAGGTAAATAGATGGTGTTACATAGGCAGAGAAGGGCTGATTCTTCCTCTACCCTTACATTAATCTGATATAAGTCAGAAGTAACCCACATGTTCTCAGTACAGGCAAATCATGCATAAGCACAAGAAGCAACATCAAGAAGGGGGCTTCAATTATAGATAGGCATCCTCAGTCAACAAGGTACCTCACTGACAGCTATTCTGAGAAGGAGAAGCAGAGCACAGGCTGAGTTGAACCTTTCTGTTTCTGTGCTAGACACACAGTCATGTGAAAGAGCAGGAAACCATTCAAATGTCACCTGCAACAAGCAAATTTTATTCTGCATGTCAGAAACAATACCCTGAGATGTATGACAAGTACCATGCCTTCTGCCTGACCTCAGACTAACCTGGCTAACTACCTCTTTCTGTTCAAATACACTAAAATCCAGAGTCTAAGGCCATGGATAAACATTGGGGGAGGGGAGGAACAAAATGGTGCTTTACTTTCAGCTCAGTGAACCCCAGCACATGATCAGAAGACCCAGTTTCATCAATTTGACCCATCTCACCCAACATCTGTATAAACCACATGCTTCAGTGGGGCTTTTTTGTGTTTTTATCTAATAGCTGACGGAATAGCTCCCTTCCAGTACAGCACCATTTATGAGGGGTTTTTCCCACATCTATCAGCAGCCTAGGTGGTTTCAGGTGCCTACATGTGAGCCTGTTCTATCCTGCTCACACCACCCTGTCCCACAGAACACTGAATGAAACATATCTGACTAAGGGGAAGTACTATATTCGCTTTCAGAAAGAACTATATTATCTTTCATCTTTACCCCGTGCTCACTGCAGTAGCATTCCCCTTCTTTCCTCACTATGTTTTCATTCATATAGAGGAAGAATCTTTTGCTATAAGAGTGTCGTGTGCAATCTCTAACTCAGCTTGGCTTTTTTTGGCTATTCTTCCTTTTTAACAATGTATCCTGACTTCCAAGACACAACTTTCTCTGCCAACTAGTCTTTTTTTCCCCAATTTTTTGCAGACCTTCTGTTTACTCCTAGTATCCTTGCAAAGTGGTGATTCATCTAGATAGCTTCAGAGCCCTTCCCTGCAAGTGTGTTTTCTCTGCTTTAGTTCTTGCAGCTTTGACCTACAGAAATCCCAAGCTTTTCTACAGTAAAGTCACAGCTGTGAGAGGAAGGTATATGGGAGATAAGTGAGGTCAGAGGGAAAACAGCAAGCTAACTCTTGTTACACTAGCCCCCTTATTTCTCAAAGTTTCCCCTTTTGAAATTGGTAAGCTTAGTTATAGGTCTACTTCTTCTGTGTAATCGAAACAATCAAATTGTGAGTGGAGAAATGAGAAAGATTCAAAACCAGTAGGGCGAAGAACATTTTAGAGTTGGCAACATGAGAAAATTAGGGTGGAGTAGAAGAAGCAGAGTTTTCAGGGATAGGGAGGAGGAGAAGATTCTTTGAGGAAGGTTTTTTTCTTCCCTCATAAACCATGGGTGGAGGGAATTGGTAACAAGACTGAAAAGAGACTGAAACAAAAGGACTTAATAACTATTCATGCAAATGTTCCCTGCCTTCTGCCCTGCCCACTGGCTTGTTCCTGCTTTACCTATGTGCCCTACGTGGCAGGAGACACCCTGCTGCAGAGGTAATTTTTTCTATAGCTTGTGTGTTTTCGAAGGTCAGGTTTTCTGGCTACCATAATTTACAGTAGACAGTACTACCTGAGACATGATGCCAAGTGCTGGGTGGCAATTAAAACCTCTAGGGTGTCAGTTGCTTTGGGAAGAAAAGTGCCTTGAGACCTTATGCTGTGAGCCACACAAATGTTGAGCAGTATTAGTGCTAGCTTGGAGTTTGGAGCTGTTACATCTCAGCTCTGTGTTCTTGGGCAACCCTGGCACAGGACACAGCCTGTCTGACTCACAAAGGACTCCCCCCCTCCCCCCACTACATAAACGAAACTGATTAAGTTGCAGTGAGAGACACACCTAAAACCTTCCAGATAAGGGTGACTAGAGTGAAACAACTGCCCTAGGTCTCATTTGCATCCGAGATGGAACCAGATGACCATTCATTTACATGAGAGATGGAGAACAGAAAGCCTGAAGCAGAGACTGCAGTGAATTCTGGGATCAGAGAAGCAGGGGAGCACTGCATGATGGGGAATCTGTGCTCCAAATGCTAATCAACCCACATTTACACACACCCAGATCAGCATTTATCAGACCAGTTCTAATCTGGATTTACAAAGGACTTCCCCTCCCCCTCCACCCCCCACACACCTCTAAGCAGAAGTAAAGTTTGATAGGCATCTCGGGCCGTACAGTCCCCGGTTCCACTATGGGAGGCCTATTTAAACTTGATTGACTAAAACTTGGTTGCCGGGTTAGGGAATGCTGAGGCAAGAGACCGAGTCAGAGGGGGTATGGGCAACATTTGAACAATGGTAAAGGGTTCATCACAGCGTCCAGCCCATTGGAGCCCGGACCACAGGTGTTGTCATACTTTTTCTGGGATGACTGGTGGAAGTCCTCCTGCACAAAGGTTATAAACACTCCAATAATTGCCTTAAGACTTGTTCACAACAAGTAAAAATCCAAAACCCTGATGCTACAAGCTATCTATTGTTTCTGAAGAAACCATGAGATATCCCATCAGTATATCTGCTATCCATAGGAATTTCAAGCGGGTTCCCAAGTATCTGGTTACTCCCTAACCTTATGTGTTTCCTGATTCTCAACCAGTTTCTTGAGATGTTCCAAACCAGATAACCCCTTGTCAATAGAAAAGACAATGATTAACATTATTGAGAAAGCGTTGAACAAGCTGAACTGAGGGTATAAAAATCTGTAAAAAAACCAGCAGTGTGTGTGTGCTGAAACCACCCGCTGTTGTTCTCAGGACTCTGGAAGAACAGATTGTCTCCCTTCAAGGATTATGCTAGGAACTTTACCTGTCAGCTTTAAGACCCAAGTGCCTTGGACTGGTTAGATCTCAGCACGCTCTCTCTCTCTCTCTTTTCTCTCTAGGCATA